TAAATATTAAAATAAAATACTTGAAATTCTTAGATTTTGCATAAATAATTATTTGACTAGAAGTACTTTTTAGATAATTTTACTATTCTTAAAATAAAATCACAATTATCAAAAATTATTTATTATATATCTTACAGTTGTTATTGACTCTTCAAAATTTCTTGAATAAAAAGCTATTAGATGAAGTTTATTATTTGCTTGTATTTGTAAAAATACTTCATCCAAAGCAAAGTCCAATGCATTTATTTTAATAAAAAATCCTTTAAAAAAGTTGATATAATATGAAATTAGTGCAAAAGTAAAAAATATATCTTTAAAGCTTGAAATCTTCTTTTGCTTCCGTATTATTGTATTTAGAAGTCAAATATATAAGTAGAGCTACAATTTGAAAAAAAATTCTGATAAAAATTCAATAATAATTCAAAAATCTCAAAAAACATTTGATGTCTCTTATTATTCTATGGATCTTTTAATCTATGATAGTTTGAACTTTCTTAGGATCTATCATAAAACCATTGTTTAAAATAATGTAATCTAAGAAATCAACTTGAGTTATTTGAAATACATATTTTTTATCTTGGCATATAATCATATATCTTTAAATTTTTTAAATACATAAAAATACAAAATTTATACTTTTATATTTTTAGAATAAATTAGAATATTAATTAGATAATAAAAAATAAAATTATTTAAGCTTTTCAATAGAGCATCAATTATAATATTTTTTTTAAATAACTTACATATTTGTGAGTTTTAAAAGCATGACATTATAATCAAAACACCTATATTTGATTTTAAATGCATTCTTTCATTTATTTTTTAAAATGTGTACTAATTTGTATGTTCTTTGTAGATCCATTTTTGTATAGATTTTGGGTGATTCAATTAATCAAGAAGTCTTAATATCAAATATAGAAGATATTTATTATTAATAGTAATCTTGTTGAGCATTCAATAATTACTGTTATTTGTAGTTTATCTATCGTTTTTCTTTACAAACACAATAAGTATTTTTGTTGGAGATTTTAAATTATATATGAAGTTTTTGGCAAGATTTTCATTAATATATTCTTTAAGTTCAATCAACTCATTTTTTAATAAGCTATAGATTGATCCAAATGGTGGTTGAGTTCTTTTTAGAAGATCAATTGAACAATCATAAAGACAATGCATTAGAAGATTATCTACATTTCTCTTTTCAAAAACGTCTTAATAATCTTTATATTAGATTTAAATGTTGCTTTAAGTCTTTTGATTATAGGACAAATAAATAAAATGTAGCAATTTTTTTCCAATATACATAAAGGTTCTTTTATTCACAAATAAAGATTTGGTTGTATTAGATTTATGACTTATGATTTAGTAAGAAAAAGTCTTAGTTATATTTTGCAAAAAAATTAGACTATAAAAAATTTAATCTATTTAAGAATTATATATTTTTAATCATAATAAATTTAAAATAACTATGTTAGAAGAAAAACTAATAATATTAAATATTTTTGAGCAATTATTTAAATTTTTTGTTACATCTGTAATAATAGTTTCATAGATAATATCTCTTAAAGATAATAAATGACCATCTATGATTTCTATATGCATAGATTTAATTTTATTTATTAAGATATTTTTTTATCTTTGCATAAAATCTCCATCCAAAAAAATAATGAGGTTTCTAAATCTAATAAGCTAGAAGCTTTATAATATTTAGGTTTCAAATAGACATTAATTATAAAATAAAAAAATTATAATAAAAAAATAAAACCTTTATTAGGTTTTTTATAAGATTTTAGATGTGTAATTCTTATTATATTTAGATAAACTTATTTTCCAATATATTATCTTTTTTAACAACTATAATCTTTATTTTTTGGTTGCATCACTTCTTTAGATAATATTGAGAAATATGTGTAGATTCCCCATAATATTAGTATAATCCTTCTTAATAATAGTTAGTCTTTTTTTGCTTATTAAGAAATTTAAAATATATTGTGTTAATTTGCATATATTCAACTTATTAATGTTTTTTTAAAAAGACATTTGTGTTGCCATTGAAATATAAAAATATTAAGACCAATTTGTACAATTCTCAAATCAAAATTCAAAAATCCAATTTTTACACTTTATAGCAAAGTTAATTGCTTGATTTAATGTTTGAAGATTAAATAAGTTTAGTATGAATTTCTTTACATCATATTATAATCTTAAGAAAAATTGGCTAATAAATGTAATATTATCTAACTTAATATCAATTGCTAATTGTTGAAATTATAAAACATAGAATGTTATTAAACAATCATCTTGAAACAAAATACAAATCTTATTAGTTATAATACAAATTTCATAATATTTTTTTATACATGAATTAATTTTTTTCTAAAAAAGCTTCTAAATTATTTAATATTGGATCACATTATTCAAGAAAAGCTACAATTTATGATAAATCTAAATTGAAAGTAATATTTCAAAAAATAAAACTTGTGATCTTAGAATTAAATAACTTTGAAGATGAAGTTCAATTATTAGTTATGATTGATAGATGAAACTTTAAAATTTTAATCTTATATCAAGAAACATCTTAAGAATGGCAACTTTTGATTCTTAGTTGTTTGATTAATGTTTCATTATATGAAAAGTAATATGATTTGATGTAGATATTGAAGCAACTTAAATCATCTTTATATCTTCACTTCTAGCCAATCTTCTTATTCTTTATGGTGGTAAATTGAGTTGATGCATTGTTAGCATTAACTTTCTTATTTGTTGTTGCATTTCTACTATTGTATTCTTAATTTTAACAAGTCATGTTATAATAACACAATAAAAAAAAATATATATATCTAATATGATTTGACATAAGTAGAAGAGAAGACTTAAGAGTAAAGAAAGTTCTAAAAGCACTATCAATTTAGAAGTGGGTAATCTATAACTTCTAGTATGCTTATATCTTTTTAAAGAAAATGCATAGTTGAATTTTAATTAAGAAAAGACAAAACTTGGATCTTATATGTACATGATTTTTAATCTTTTAAAGACAAGAACACAAAGAATTTAAATAAATAAGGAAGATGTATATCAAAGTGAAATGATAAAAAGAAATATATATATATATATTCAAGAATTTGAATTGATTATTTTCAAAGACTAAATAATTAGATATTCTTGAAACTAGACTAGAGACAAGAAATGTATTGACATAATTGAGGAAGGCCTCATTTTTGCCTCTATATATACTATCTAACTAGAAGTTATGTAACAATGTTCTAAAGGACTTCTAACATGTATCCAACTTATAAGACATGTGTCTAACTTGCAAAATAAGTTTCTTATATATGTGCTATATGGCTAACTTGTTGGCCAAGCTTTCAAATTATTAATTACCTACAAATACATGTAAAGTCAAATTCACATATATATATATATATATATATGTGTGTGTATATATATATATATATATATATATATGTGTGTGTGTATATATATATATATATATATATATATATATATATTTAAAGCTTCTAAAAAGCTTTTCTATAAGGTATTATATAATTGATCTATTTATACTTATTTCTACTTAATTCCTCTTATCTAGATAATTATAAGTCTCAATAATATTTACAACATTAAGTTAATAAAGAATATAAAATTGAGATTATGGTGATAGTCAAGTAATAGATAGAAATAAATAAAAAAAAAATCTATTGATGACACAAATGTAGCACCATATTGTAGTCAAGTAATGGATAAGACTAATAAAAATGTAAGTGGAAATATATATATATATATATATATATATATATATATAATTCTTAAAATTAATTTATAATCTTGATATTTTAAATCAAAATAATTTTATAATTATAAGTATTAAACTAATATTTTATAATAACTAATATATATAGAAATATATTTAAAATAATTTATTTTTATTATATTTTATTTATTTTTATAATTTTATATTTTAAGATTTAACTTTTAAGATAGCAAAAATAAATATTTTTACAAGATTCTCCAAAAATAAAAAAAATAAAAATATTGAGATAAGTATGATTAATGGTAAAAATTAAGTATTCAAATATGACAATGCCAATAAATATTATTTTAGGTTAATAATCATGTCAATAAAAGATATTCCACACAAATTAAACAAAAGTTTTTTTTTTTTTTTTTTTTTTTGATAATGCTAGAATTGATAACATTAGCTTATATGAATTTTACAACTAAGAATAATAATACTATAAATAAATAAATATATATATATATATATATATATTTATATGATTCTATCAAAGATTTAGCAAGTATTTTTGAAAAGATGGTGTACCTTTTTTTGCATACATAGTATTAGTAATGGCACCACCTATTTTAAAGATTTTTATTTTTTTTATTTTTTTTATCATGCCAATGATTCAATGATTCAATACAATTTTTTTTAAAAATTATTTTATTTTAATTGGTTTTTTTAATTATATTTTTATTTTTAAAATATATTATTTTCAGAATTAAATTATTATAAATAAATTTTAGAACTTACAAAGGATTTGATTGAGATTTTTTAAAAATTTAAAATTTTATATTTAAAAAATTCAAACATAATTGTTACATGTTAAAAATTTATCCTGCATTCATCTATCTACATGTAATCAGGCACTCACTCAATTCCTGTGAAAGGCTTCTTGGAAGACTGGGTCCTCTCAAAACCCTCACAGAGAGGCCATTTTCCTTGTAACCGCTAGAATTGACTGTAGCCCCTCTTTCCTCTCCTTATCGTCATTGCAGCCGCTAATCCATCATTTTCTCAACCACCTGCAAGGGGAGGGGGGAGCTTCAGTGTAAAAAAAAAAAAAAAAAAAAAAAAAAAAGAACAAAAACACATCCCACCGAACAACTCTCCGTCACGGGCTCTTGGCCCCATGGAAACCACCATCACTTTCTCCTGCAGCAATCGAACTTCTACATCAAACCAAGGCAACAGTTTTACAAGTGGAGAAAGAGAGTACGACGTTGGGGGCGCAGGCTCATGCTGGAAGCCCCTTGGTTTTAAATGCTTTTTTTGCCTGGGTGTGCACCCCCAGATCTTGAGAAATGCATGATTCGAAGATTATGCCATTCTTCTCTCCGTCTCGGTTACCCAACTCAACTAAACCTGGAACAACAACAACAACAGCATCTGCGGGGCAGTCAGTCATCTCCCCCCTGGTACTGGCTTTCAAATGCCCGCACGTATTCTGCTCCTCCACTTGGGTGTTTGTTTTGGATCGAATATTTGCATTTGGCGCCATGGGTTATCAGGCTTGGGGGGAGGATAAGTTTATCCAATGCTGATGCTGATTTTGCTCTGTAAATATTGAAGCTTTTGTTGCTCAATACGGAATCTGAAGCTGGAACTGGTCAGCCACAACAGGCGTGGTATTTAGAATTGTATATTTTGGCAGATGTGAATCACGGGAGAGTCATTCACTCTGCGTGCTAAGCATTATGACATGAATCGTTGCAGGAGTTCAGATGGAGTGATCAGAGCTCGTGAGTGAGTGGACCTACATTGTGTACCAGCATTTGTAGTTTCTCTGTGTAGGCATTCGAATCGGCATATCGGTGTGCGAAGTATTGGAGGTGGTTGAGGAGGGAAATTATTAAGTGGCTGTGGGAGTGCGGGAATTCGAAGCCGAAGCGAATCTTCTGGAGGATTGTTCTAAAAATGGAGCGGGTCCTTGTGTGATGAAAGCCTACAAGCCAGCTTCTCGTAAGCGGAGGAGGAGAAGCGGAGACGCCCAGTTATGATATGGTGCTCGGAGCGCCGACTTTAGTGCGGTCCATGTTCTAGTTCTTCCTTCTGATTCCTTCTTCCTCTGAAACCTCCAATTGCCAAATTGCAAGCTTGGGGCCAGTTTTTCTTTTCTTTTCTATTATATCTATCCTGGTACCAGTCCAGTCTGTTACTTCTCCCCCTGCCCACCTCATTACAACGATTCAGAGGGACTTTCTGGAGGCACATTTTAGCCAGCTTTATTACATTAGTCGTGGACCTTGATTTTCGTTTGTTTCTTTTCCAGGTGACTAGCCTTCCATTTCGGGAGAGTATACTGGTGATGGACGGTTAATTGTTCGCTTTCAGACAAGGGATTGTGTAGGGTTGAGCGAAAGTGTACGGTGAGTTGGTATTCTGCAACTGGGATTGTGTTTTGGTGCTGTGTTTCCTCCAAGATGCAAGAGGTTTCGGGTGAAAGATCCGGCTGTTAGATGTCATTCTGATAGGATCCAACGTTGATCGGAAACGGTGCAGTATGGGAGCTATTCCACCGTTGTATGCAGACCGAGGAGATTTTTAAGGCCTGTGATTTCGCCGGGTTTGATTGACGAAAGGAAAGCCCATCGCTTAGAGCTTTTGTTGATGATGCCTCTACTCGCCCACTGTGGGTTTCAGGAAGCCCGTCTTTGGAGTGGTCATAGCAAACGGCAACCGAATGACTGGGCAATGTAAACTCCGAATGCATGGAAACGAAGACTGCAATGTTGTTCCGGATAGCAGCTTTCTCGAGATTGTCTGCATTTCGAGTGAGGAATTTTTTTCCACTGGTTTAGAGGCGCATGAAGTAGGGCAGGAGCAACAACGCTGGTTTCACGAGGTTGACACCAATCATGGTATCCGTATTCATAGGCGAAATGCGATGAATCTACCGACGCGGAGCTTCAGTGAGGCGAATGCGCAGCTGAGAGACTAGAGCTGTCAATATGAGGGGAAGAAGAAAACGAAAGATCACTCAGGAAGGATATGTTCACTCAGGGTAGTCACATTCTGCATGCGAGAATATAGAATCAGGCAAAATAAAACAACTTCTTCTGGTGTTGGCATTCGAGAAGAGCGGACGTAAATGGCAGGTTCATGGATTTGGGGGCATCTCGCCGGGTTGATGCTAATTATTTGTGGCTTGCATTTATTGAGGTATTGCCCAGATCTAGTGCCCAACTTCGTCCTCTCGCTGTCAAATATTTTTGCATGTTCGAGGGTGGTCCGTAAGAGTACCTAGATTTCTCGCAACGTGAGAATGCACATTCGTTCTGTGTCTATGTCTTTTTTCTTGTCTGAGAGGCATTCCTTCTCTCTTAGAAGTAGATAGTAATCATTCCTGGCGGAGTAAAAAGTTTCTTTGCTTCCGTGTCACATGGATTTCCAAGCAAGGTTTGTATCGAACGACGGCCGTGACATCCTGAGCACCGTTAGGTTCCTGCCGCTGATGTAAAAGAACATGATAGGCAGGAGTTTGCCTCTATACCAAGTAGGACGTTTTGCAGGGGCATTTCGTTGCGGGCTACGTCACAAAAACTTGGCCAATTGTTAAATCCTTGCAATCTGGCAACATGTTGCACTTTTGTCTCAAGCTTATTCTCTCATTCTTCTAACTTTGCCCTTGTCTCTCAGCGACCAGCCAGGAGTATCTTTCCATAATAACCATGGTAGTTTCGATTCGAATGTCGGAGAATTTTTTCATAGCGAGACGAATTCAAGTGGGCAGGAAGTGTTGGTGGATTCGATAGATCCATCGATTGTAGACTCCGATCAAATCAGTCATTTGTTGGTACGACTATGGAAATCGGAGGATCCAAGTGAGTTCTGTTCATCTATTTGTTTGTTTTCAAGCTTTGTGTAGTATTCTTAGATCCTCACCTGCAACTAAGATTTGTAAACCAACAAGAAGTGACGACGTCGCGGTTAATCATTAACTTAGCGGTTTCTTTCGAAGCTCTGTCTCAGAAATGCCTCTTTTGACGTGAGGATAATTGTCAGCCTTAATGAGCTTGTGAAGTATGTGAGTCGATCTCATTCACATGCCTGGTTTCAGATACGCGTGGGAAATCCAGTCACGCAGCAGGCTGGGTTTCAAGACGATTTCTGGTACAACACCCTCTAAACGCTTCACCATCAGCATTGATTGCAGCAGCACCAACACAAGCTCCTCCCATCGCACAGCCACCTCTAAAGCTTCCTCCTGCTCGGCCACCTCGCGTGTCTCCTCCTTTACAACCAGATTTACCCCCTTCACAAACTCCCCTAGCACCCACAATAGCGCCTTCGCCTAGTTTATCGCCTCCGACTCCTTCTCGACGTTTATCTCCAGCACCATCCCCATTTTCTTCGTCTCCAAGGATTGCCTCTCCCCAACGAAGTCTGCCTCCCTCACCGACACCAACACAGCTTGCTCCTTTCAATGTGCCATCCCCCTTGCCTGGTTTTTTCGAACCCACGCCATCGCCCTTGACTGCTCCAGCTCCAGTTCCTGTACCTGCTCCTGCACCTGTAAATCTAGACCTTCAGGCGTTGTTATACTTCAAGGGGCGTTTAAATGCAGATCCGACTGGAGTTTTCAAACTGTGGAATAACTCTTACAACCCAAATCCTTGCAACTGGGTTGGGGTCTCATGTGGCCAGACGGGTGAGAATACTGGGCGCGTTATCTCGGTGAGTCTTCCGGACAAAATGCTGGAAGGAAACTTGACAAACTGGAAGGAGGTAGGGGATCTTTCATACTTGGAGGTGCTAGATCTCAGTGGGAATAGGATATTTGGGTCCATCCCAGAAGAAATTGGCACGCTGAAGTACCTGAGGGTTTTGCGTCTCAGGGGAAATTCTTTCCGAGGACCGTTTCCTCAGATTCTTTCTTCATGCACGAAGATGGAGGACCTCGACGTTCAAGGGTGTAGCATCGTTGATGTCTTTCCAGAGTTGCTTAAAAACTTCACAAATTTGGCTGCTCTGAACTTGGGAGACAACTCTTTTACAGGGACAATCCCAATATGGTTGGGGTGGTCTCCTGTCTTGCATTACTTACACTTGGGGGGAAACAGACTCAATGGCGATCTTCCGATCACTTTGTTGAATTGTACTACCCTCACGTTTTTGAACCTTTCGTCGAATAATTTGACGGGATCTGTTGATTCCATGGTTGGGAACTTGGTACGCCTCCAAAGCTACCTGGACTTGTCGCACAATCGACTTTCTGGTAGGATTCCTTTCGAACTTGGAAACTTACGAGAAGTTGTGGGGATCAATCTTTCAGGAAATTCCTTCACTGGAAGTATTCCGCAGAGCATCGGAAACTGCTCCAAGCTGCAGAGTCTGGACCTTTCTGATAATCAGCTCAGCGGAACTTTGCCAGAGACGCTCAGCTTGCTTCAAAACCTCAATCATTCGTTGAACTGTTCCCACAATGACATCGAGGGGCTGATTCCTGGTAGCCTTGGTTCTCTTCCTAAGTTGACCAGGCTTGACCTGTCACACAACAAACTGACGGGACCAATACCTGAAAAGATTGCAAATATGAGCTCGCTCATTTTGTTTAACGTCTCTATGAATAACCTCAAGGGGCATATACCAGACATTGGAATATTCAGAAACTTCTCTTACGAATCGTTTCTCGGTAATCCTGATTTGTGTGGCAGACTGGTGGGTCGGCCATGTCCTGGTGAAGAGGTTATTCCACAGGGTAGCATTCATCATCACAAGAAAGGTCCCGGGTTGATAACTATCATCGGCGCTGCTGCTGAGGGGATTGTCCTCATCATCTTCGCCGCGCTCCTGATTCGATATATCATCCATCGCCGGCGTCCAGTGCAATCAGATACTGTAGTTCTTTTTTCAAAGTACTTCAAAGCCTTGAAGCTGACAGCTGAAGAGATTGAAGCAGCGAGAGCATTCACAGACTCAAGTGGGAGCGTGAGCGGGGTGTTCAGTCGAAGTTTGAGTGGGAACATCCGGCGGGCTGCGGGTTTCAGCAATATCGAGAAAGCAGTACTGCCCGATGGGACCGTGTTTGCGGTCCAAGACTGGAATATTGGAAAGTTCAGGAAAAAGGATCGGCATAAGATTGACACAGAGATGTTGAATTTCAGCAAGATTCGGCACCGGAACTTGGTCAGGCTCATGGGATACTCCATGAAGTCTAGCAACCTGAGCTTGCTGATGGAATTCATGCCCAATGGAAGCCTTGACTTGCATCTGCATCCTCCGGGCCAGCACACCTGTCAACTCAAGTGAGTTGCTGCATTTCACGTCTGCCTCATCGTTCCTGTGCCTATGTCTGCATTATGATCGCTGCTACAATATTTGAATTTTTCATGTGTTTGCATATAATCTCGATGAGCTCAACTTGACCGGGTTGTGGCAATCACGCGTATAGGTGGAATGAGAGGCTCCGGATAGTAATGGGCATCACAACAGGCCTGGTATGTCTGCACCACGAGACCTGTGGGAGTGCTGTAGTGCACTGTGACTTGAAAGCAGCCAATGTGCTTCTCGACTCTGATATGGAGCCTAAGCTGGTGGACTTCGGAATGGCTAGACTTATCAAGCGGAACAGTAAAGGTTTCACTGCGGCCGCTTGGGTCGGATCCTCTGGATATGCTCCCCCTGGTAAATCTCTTCTCATGTTCACTCTCTCGCACAATGCATTTCATTTTGTATTGGGTTACTCACAGTTGGAGGTGAAGATTTGTTTTGTATCTCTCCAGACCAGGTGTCACTTCTGAGCATTTTGTTTGTGATTGTATCAGAATATGGATTCTCGAACGAATTCACCATGGCAGGAGATGTTTACAACTACGGAGTGTTGATCTTGGAGATTATCACCGGCAAGAGGCCCACGAGTGAAGAAATAGGAGTAGGGGTGACTCTACCCGCTTGGGTTAGGGATTTGCGAGGCCAAGGCAGAGAGCAGTATGCGGTTGACATGAACCTATTCCAATCTGCTGACGAGACGCAACTCAACCAAATTTTGTACATCATGAAAGCTGCCATTATGTGCACTTCTCATGTGCCAACCTCCCGGCCGAGCATGCTGCAGGTTCTAGGCAATCTTCAAGAGATGCCAGAGTGTGCTGCCGAAGACCAGGAACTAATCCCGGTGGAAGCTTCAGTTGACTCTTCTTCCCAGAACCAGGATAGTTGAACATCACTGACAGTATCACCTCATTATCACCACCACCATCCCACTCCTTTCGTGACATGCTCTGAAGAAGAATCTCCGAGGTGTGGTCTTTACGTAGAATCATTCAATTTTTTTTCTTTTGCTAGTGTAGTTATCCTGTTCATTTCATCTTGTTCGTAAAAGCCCTGAAAGAGGGGTGTCGAATTTAGCGACCACCAGTTAAGTATTGGTGCGCTTGTCTCCATGTTAGTGCCCATCCCACTGAGAGAATAGCCGTCTTTAAGAAAAGCTCTGGTTCTTTGAGATGCAACGTCGGCTTTCCGACAGTGACTGGCCAGTAGGAACAGTGCCGCGTGCGGCCATTGATTTGTACCATCACTTGAACAATCCCTAAGCAACATTGCTTCTCAACTGCTCCTTTGTGCTCCTTTAAGCTCCATCTGATGTTAGGACCACTTATGCAGCATTAGTACTTTGTTTTGAAATGCCACGTTTCAAAGTTCTAGGAAACTATCACTTCAGTATAATTTACTTCACATCGACTATGAGAGCACACACTTGTTGCTTGTCTCGCCATGAGAAACGATTTCGTCAATTTGGGCATCTCAAAGTTGAACAACCAATTAGAATTGATTGTATTCTTCATCGACAACGTCGTGTACGCTCAAATGTTGCGGGAATGTTCCAACGTGGATAATGGCGTGTTTGATAACGTTAGGAAGGCCTTCACGGCCACCTTTTACTGGATGATTCTGGAAGACAGTGTGGCGAGGGCGTGAACTCCAGGGGATCTCACGCCGCTTTTGAAAAGTAGGTGCTCACGAGTATAGCGTTAAATTCGTTAGGATGTGTTGGATGCGGAGTCGTCCCCACCAATCGGGTTCTGGAAATTGTGTGTTACCTCTTCCGAATGCGTCTTCATGGAATTCTAGATGCAGCGTCGTCGTGGTAGTTTCATGATTTCCTCATTACTGCGCCATGGATATGCTGTTGCAGCCATTTAGGCCGCGTTTTCTTTCTAAGCGTGCGTCAGGGTGTGATCAACTCCAGTGTGGGCGTCTTCCATCTTTTGATTTAGGCCTTGCTCGACGCTTCACTCCTGTTGGGTGCAGAATATCTGGTAGGATTTTGAGGTACCCTGCAATTAGACGTGTGCAAGGAGTGTGTAAGAGCCAAGGGAGTAGAAGATGTTGTCATAGACGCTCTATTGTTCGTATTCCCTTATCCTGCTCAGACTGCGGATGGGAAAGATTTGGTTGTAGCCAAGGGGATATTTGGAGATTTAAGGCACCGGAGCGAAGTGCGTTTGCGATTGCCCATTTCGAACAAGACAACAGAAGCCGAAACGAAGGTAATGCAACCAATCTCGAGAATGAAGACCGTCCTCCCTTCAATCTTGACCTCGCTGTCGTCCTCGCCGGGTTCGCATTCGAGGCTTATAATACCCCTGCGGTGCGTTGATCCGCCTCACCCTTATCTTGTTTTTTTTTTAATTATATCTAGTGCCCGATTGGCTGCACTAGCTTCAATTACATCATTTTCTTCCAAGCTTTTGTAGAATAGGGCGATTAGACAATCGAATGGGCCATTGTTGCAATCTTAGTAGTGGTCACAGTTTATTTGCTGGACCTTGACATCCAAAATGATGCGCTTCGTACTAGACGTGATTAACCGTAGTATATCTTGCAGGAGAATGTGGGTGTGCAAGAAAAGGATGCAGGTGACTGCGAGACAACCTTCTTAGCTCAGTACGAAACAGAACTCTACCACGCCTTCCTTATTAATACTCGATTCATCTGTTTAAATCTATTTAGGGTTGTGGATTTAACTCTACTAAGAAATTTTAAGGTTCAGATTGATGGAATTGGTACTGCATGTAGTATTGTAACGTTTGGCAGTCCACCAACAGAGTCTTAGCTTAGCGTAGTCCTGATGTCTAAACAAACTAAACCAGTAGCAATTACTTGTAATTTGCTCGCAGGCATTTCCTACGTGAGGTTTACGACGGGCAAGTATTCGTAAATTTGAAGAAGGGTATGCATTTTCCCGGGCTTGATTTTTGGGTAAGTACTAGAGCAGAGACTGGGCTCTTTTCTTCTGCGTGCGTTTGAAGTGGCTTTGTTAGCATATCTCATCAAGCTAAGCCTGCAGCGAATTGTGTGTTGAAAACAGGGAACCAGTGATCCTTATGTTGTATTACAAATTGGAGGCTGTGAAGCACAAAGTAAAGTCATCTGGGCGTAAGAAGCTTAAGACCAGCTTTCCCATTGTTTTCGGCCTGCTTGCTTCTTTGAAGTTGAGATAGTATTAACCTGAATCGCACCGATTTACCCGACTTATATCTGTCTTGATCAAAAACTTCTTGAGGGTTCAGAACAGTTGGAAAGTGGAAAATGGTTTGTCAGATCTTTATATGTCTGTTGGAAAAAGAAAACTATGGAGCTTGCTAGCTATGTATCGTTCAGCATGAGTGACAGTTATGCATATATTGTCATTGAATCCACTACTTTCATGTACTAGCTGACTAATTTTATTTGCCTACCAGCACGAAAGATCCTATTTGGAATGAGGAATTAAAGCTCAACGTCCAGGATCCGACTTCGCAGATTTTGCAGGTTTGTATGTGCTGGTTTGTTTTCTTTCGAAGAAAGTTCAGGAAGGGACTGATACAAAGATAGCATAAGTAACAAGGACACTCAAAATTTCTAATTTCAGTTTTATATCTTACACATTGTGAAATAGCTATGCTGTCTTCTGTACGTCGTTGAACTGTCGTTACATGCCAAACCCCGATGCGAACAGTCTGGTGTCGTTGTTCCAAACGTGTGTTCTTTGTTCGCAGGTTGCAGCGTGGGATGCCAATGTAATCACCGCTCATCGTAGAATGGGAAACACCGGATTGAGTCTTAAGGATTTGTCGGATGGTAGGTCGTTAGGAGTTCAAGCACTCAATTTTCGCTTTTGAAGGCTTTTTGTGAGCCTAGAAGTAGCATTTTTTAAATAATTCGAAATTCAAACATCAATCCACTGGTGGATTATTATCATGAGTGGTGCAGGTAAGAAGCACGAAGTGGAACTTAATCTAGGGGGTATGGGTGGAGGTGGTGCTATTCAGCTCGAGGTAATTTCCTGAAGTGATTGGAATCTATCGTAGATTTTGGTAGTATACACATGAAGAGGTTGATCCATTACGAAGGGCTAGATTTGTATTTGATTTACTAATTGTTGAGAGATCTCATTAAAAGAAACCTAGTAGAAAGTACTGGGATCCTGGTCATTTTGCAACTCAAGGTGAAGTGTAGGGTTCTTTATTTGTTGTTTCCTTCTCTTGGATTTATGTTTCTTTACTCGGTAGAATCCTATTTGGACCAGCACATAACTATAACCATAATTCATTTTTGCAAAAAGGTTTCATTATTTATATATGCCGCCATAATTTCAGGTTCAATACAAGAGCTTCGCTGAAATGGATGCAGAGAGGAGCTGGTGGAGTCTGCCTAGTTTGACTGACCTTCTTCACATCAGAGATGTGGAAGACGCGTACAAAAAAATATTTGGAGGGGATGGTATCAAGGCGAGTGATTTTGTGAGGTCCACCCTAGGGTCGCTACCATTCTTACTCGAAAACGAGAAAGATGTTACTCCTGAAATTCAATTACAGAAGACACTCGCTTCAGAGGCGAAGAATAATAACATTCAAGGTAATGAGAGTACAGTGGACTCTTCGTTGAAGATAACTGACCCAAACACTGCACAAACTTCCCAACCATTCGACTGGTTCGGTTTTGGAAAACCTGAGCAGGAGGTCAACAAGGAAAACTTGGACCATGAACATGATGATGACGGTGATTATGTAAGAGCCGTTGTGCAGGCTGTAGGAAAAACATTAGCCTCAATTGGAGTGGATGTTGGAAGTCTTGCTCCCTTAGATAAGAATACCTTGCAGGCTGAAGGGGAGACCATCCGCAAGCTTGGTTCCGAGTTTCAGAGCAAGGCAGAAGCAAATTATGTAGATAGTGGGTTGGCTATTCCTAATGAACAACTTGCGGAGTCACCAACTCAAAATGACTCGCAGGTAAGTCGTCTATATTTGCTTGCAGCTGCCACTGCTGCTGTGAACAAATTTTGCTGAAGTTGTAATATAGGTTGATTCTAGCCTCTGATATTCTTCGTGCGCATTTCCTACAGGAAATGCAACCAATGTTTGAGCAGTTGGAGAAAGCCTCGAAAACTCTGCTTCAGAGCACGGAGAACTTTCTAGGATTGTGGGCTATGGTGGCCCAGTCGTTTCCTGGAGGTCAGAATCAGGAGGACAAGAATGGTACTCTTGTAGCATCTGGTCAGGCACCAGTTCAAACACAAGGTGCTGTCAGTAATGACGAAGCTAAAGCACTTGAAGGGGAATGCGAAGATGATGTGGAGACCAAGGCTAAGCGCGAAATGTTTCAGACTGCTGAAAGTGCAGTGGAAGCATGGGCAATGTTGGCTACGTCTTTAGGTGGCCAAAGTTTTGTCAAATCAGAGTTTGAGAAGATGTGCTTTCTAGAGAATCGAAGGACAGATACTGAGGTGAGTATGAGAAGATTTGTAAGACCATGTTTATACACAAGAAAGCAAGATGCTAGTTATGTGTATTGTTCACACCTCTTTAACCTAATATTGATCTTTTCTTCTTCGAGTCTTGCTATTCATGATGCTCTGTCCTGAGATAACGTAGACATATCGATGCCTTCGTTGTGGTCGTTGATATTTGTAAACGTGGACATTGTGGAAGTTTATGTATATCTCTCTGCTCCTCGCTATTCATTCAATGTTGATGTATCGTTGTGCTGAATAGTCATTTGTTGACCAGGTGGCCATTTGGCGTGATGTAAAACGCCGAAGATTGGTTGTTGCATTCCGTGGAACAGAGCAGGTACATCCAAGGCATCCTGCGTGATATCGTTGGATTCATATGGAATTCTATGGGTTTACAACTAACCTCAGCTGCAAATTGATTCTGTTTCTCTCTTTGCATCAATTATTCGATGATCTTACATGTGTTAACAATATCAAGTCCTCCAGTACTTCTTTGCATTTCTAGAACTAGATAGCGGGTTTGCAAATATCCTTGAACTGATACCGACTTGCATGATAATTGGCATTGGTGCAGACCAAATGGAAGGACTTATCTACTGATATAAACGTCATCCCTGTAGCGTATGAAAAATACCATGTTGCACACCTTTCCACTTAATCCAGTTTCTCCGACTTGTGAATCTTCTCCGAGTTTGAACATGGAAGAACTTGTGAACAGAGAATTAGCTTCTATGTTTTCACATTGTGATTAGTTTGTACAATTTCTAGGAATATATGCTTGTTCCAGGTTGCTGTGCCCTCAAGTGTTTGGTATTTCTGGCTTTTTTTCTCTTACCAGGTTCAATCCAGAGCGCATAGGTGGCGACTTTAAGGAGGAAGTCATGGTACGTTCATGAAAGACTTGGTTCCCTTTTTTCGAATGAGTACCTAAACCAAGTTTCTTGATTGATGTCGATGAATTCCCAATCTAATTGTTTCTACATTTTCGTACAGGTTCATGGCGGTTTCTTGAATGCCTATGATTCTGTGAGACGGCGATTAATGACTCTGTTGCAAGCCTCACTAGGTGTCAGGTTGTTGCATAAAATTTTCTGATCTGATTTCTGCGGACAGTAGAAGTCTCGCATATTAACGCAGATTAAGAGCTTGTCTTATGTGTGGTCTAGAATTTCATTGAACCGTCTGACTTTTTATAAATCAGAAATGATGCTCCTTACCCACGATGCTTTACTTCGCAACTTTTTTGACAGGGATATCGATACCAATCCCGGTCAACCCTGGCAAGTCTATTCAACAGGTCATAGTCTCGGTGGTGCATTGGCCACTCTGTTTGCTCTTGAGCTCTCTTCGTCAAAGCTAGCCAAGTAAGAGCTGATCGTCACTTTTTCACCGGCGCTCTCTAAAATTTCCAGTAGTTCTAAAAGCCTGCTGTAGCTTTTTTAAAAATACTCTTCAACCTTCTTGATGTTTCTCATCTCAGTTTCCACGTGTGCATCATTGCGATCTATTTATTGTTCTTTTACAGCTCTGAAAACTCGTATTTCTCGATTCCTCTCGATTCCTTTAAAAGCTGGAATCCTGTAGCTAACTAGCTTCTCACGGATTATTTTTAGTTCTTGTTCTAACAACGGAAATATTTCAGAAAAGGGCATGTACAGATCACAATGTACAATTTTGGGTCGCCACGGGTTGGGAACAAGCGATTTGCAGATGTATACAACAAGGTAACTAAACCGAATTTCGGCCCTCATGCAAAGCAAATTTGGGGTCTTCTGTATTTGCTTTCATATTTCAGTTCGAAGTTCCGTTTTGTGAGCATCTATTGCTGTCTCATGGTTTGACAACTACTGAGCAACAAAACTTGTGGGACGTCAGGTAGTGAAGGATAGTTGGCGAATAGTAAATCATCGTGACATTATACCGACTGTACCCAGACTCATGGGCTACTGCCACGTCGCCCAACCTATCTATCTCTCAGCCGGAGCCCTGACTGATGCGATTGTAAGTCTTATTTCACCCACTTCAACCTTGCCTTGCCATGCCATTTGAAAGTCGTACACTTCTTTCATCATGCCAATCTCTCTCTTTCATTTTCGAATTTGTCTACTGCATGAATAAAAAGTTTTGTATTGCAAAATGGTGCGATGTGATTCACCCGTTATCCATGTAAGCACGAATGTTCTTGAAACTACGAGTGGTATTTTGTAGCAAACCTGCAGGTTTTCAGAGGTGACTTACTCTTAACGTTCATGTGCTCAGCTTGAACGTGACCTCCTAGAAGACGGGTACCATGGAGATGTCATTGGCGAAGTTACTCCCGACTTTGTATTTGAGAACGTAGTGAGTTAACACAATCCTTGGCAATAAATTTGCTGTGTACTGGAACTTGATCTTTCAGGCGCAGGATTGCAAGTTGCTAGTTTTCCTTTCAAGTATCGGTTCCGCAGCTTTGTCGGTCATTATTGACAACTTGATCATGCAGATGAAAGGAGAGAGGAAGATGCTTGAGAGACTCCTGCAAACAGAGATTGCAATGCTGCGCGCCATTCGTGATGGGAGTGCTCTGATGCAGCATATGGAAGACTTTTACTACATCGCTTTATTAGAGGTTAGCTCCTCATTCACCCCAAGTTGATCTCTGCTAAATTTTGCACCCAACATAAGAAACATTACTGTCGATATCAGAATCTTGCAGTGATAAAAATCAAACAGTTTGGACTTTTTTCCAGTTTGAGATTCATATCATACGTTTAATGCACTCCCTAGCTTTGTTTAAACCATTATAAGAATTTTTTTGTGACGAGGGATTCAAAGCTAACGTGAGCTTGCTCATTTCGCTGTATGTGTAGCGCGTGGAGCAGAAGATGGCAAGCAGATTACGATGAACTGATCGTTTGTTGAGTTTAGTGTCGACCCAAATTCTGTGTAGCCTTGATATTGGTGTACTTTCGGCTTGCCCTGAAACGCAGTTTGGCCGGTGATCTGATTGCCTGACAAGTATCGAATGGTTTTTCACACATCAACAAAAGGGGGTATTATCACAGCTAGAACTTGGAGTACTACTGGAAATCTAGGTATCTATGGTTGGTTGCCTTACCAATACTTCTCATAACACCCATTGTGTATCACTATCTTGACTAAGCTTTGTTTTGTTGCTATTGGTAGTGTTGGTTTAGTGTGCAACAAAAGCAGAATTCAATTCGAATTTTGGAAATGTGAACTACAGTGCAATCCATGTAAATTTAATGCTATCTATTTCCTTTACCTATTCATCTTATTGATAAATGATAATCCAAAACATGTGAGGTTGGATTTCAAAATCTAATTATGGTTTCATAATGAAATAGTTTTTTTTATATTTATGATTATGTAAAAGAAATGATACAAGAATAAAACGTATCATCACAATTCTATTTTATATCTATATTTTAAAAAATCATAGTGTAATACAATTATCCTAAGCAATAACTAACAAACTAGACCTACAAAAATGATTGTATTACACTATACAATTATCCTAAGCAATAACTAACAAACTAGACCTACAAAAATAATTGTATTACACTATACAATTATCCCAACACAATCAAATTTACATGAAATGCAGAAAAACACAAATGATTCCCATGTATTATTATCTCAATCAATTTCAAGTGCAGCATAAATATTGATACATATTTCAACACATTATGCTGAACCAACATGTAATGTGTAACAAATCCTCTGAGCAAGTTTGTCTGATTCCAATCTGTTCTTTTCAATCAACCTAGTAATCTCTTCGTCTGAAGCAACTGTAGATTTGAAGTTGTTGCATTTTGCAGTTTCTAAATTTTCTGCATATTTCAAATTACAAAATTTGCATGTTGAGCAAGCTGTTGGTTGCCGAGGATTTCCATACACAGTCATACTCAAACCCCCAAAATGTTTTGAGTTTTTTGCTTTGCATACTCTTTCATAGTCCTCAACTCTTTTCTTTAATGCTTTGGCATTTTGAGGTGAAACATGCGGTATATCACCTCTCCATCTTTCTGCTTTCACTCGGACTACTAAACGTTTTGTTTCATTTTGTGCTTTGGTAAATAGTTCAAATAATTTTTTTTCCATGCTTTCCATGTGACAATTGAACCCTTCCTTGAGCCCGTTTTCAAGTTCATTCTCAAGTTCATTTACAAGTTTCTTCTTAAGTTCAAGTTGAACTTTCTTCTCTTCTTCCCTAATAACTATTTTTCTATTGTTTTCAACATCAAAGGGAGTTACATTTAATGTTTTATTTCTCTCTAAGGAAGAGCATGCTCTCATTGATGTTTTAGTATTGTCTAGTTCTAAGATTGGTTTCATATTTTCATCAGATGTGATTGTAGACCTTGTTGTATTTGCTAGTTTTTTTTTCAATACCCTATTGACATCACTGTCAACTTTTATCTTTGATCTTCTAGCATTGGCACATAATGATTTCCCCAAATCATCAGATGTTTGAGAAGCTTCATTAACACTTGAATTTTTTTCTATTAATATTTTTGTAGGACTTAGAATATGATTTTCATTCAAGACACAAAAATTTTGGGCATTTTGAATTTCATGCTTTTCGTTTTTCAAATCATCAAATGTTGCTGAATCTGTCTTTTTTACACATACCCCTGTTTCTATCAGCTTTTCTCTGAGGAGAATCTTTTTATTTTCATTAAAGTCACCCAATTTTTTAATACCATGCTTTTCATTCTTGTTGTAAGGGTATTCAAAAAAATTGCTAGAACTCATAATTTTTGTTGAATTGTGTTCAAGTGGATGCTCATGTTCAAACCTTTGGACTTGAACTTCCAAAGAGTCTAAGTAGGCATCACCATTTAAGATTAAAGGAGTATGATTGGGAACAATATATTCTAAGTTGTTGCACAAATGCTCTTCTTCAACTTGTTGTAAAGAAGCCATGTTGCTGTGCATTTCTTGTTGCATGTTGTGTACACTTTCTAAGTGATTTTCACAAAACCCCAGGTTACAACTACTTTCCATATTTGCTTTTTCCCAGTTAGAAATATTTTCATCCATTTCATCATGTTGACCTTTGAAAAATTTGTTATTATTATCATCATCATAATACAAACCAACTTGATTTTGTTGAATTGGAACACCAACATTTTCAACATTTTGCATTAAATGGTCAACTTCACACCCATTATTATTTTCAAAGGATAATCCCAAATCCCTTGAGGTTGATACCATGCCATCTTTATTTTCAAATGGCATGTTAGTGTAGAATCTACTTGTCGGCGTTATTGTATGAAAAGAACCTTCCGAAAAACAATCTTGAGGTTCATCAAGACAAAAATCTTGAGGTTTGTTAAAACCTACATCTTGAGCTTGGTAATGATCCAAGTTTTCTTGAATCTTATTATCAATTCCATTGGCCAAAGATTGTATTGAACACTTAGAATAATCCCTAAAGGAATTCTCATTTTCATCACATGTATTGTATTTGGTGGTAGTGGTGAAATTTTGAAGTTGGGTCATTTCAAATTGAGAATTGGGTTCTAAATTACTGCAAGTTCCTTCTCTTTGTTTGCTCACAACATCAAAGTCAACCACAATTTCTTTGTAATTCTGATTCATGTTTTTATGAAATTTTCTTATATTCAAATCTAGTTGCAATATTCTAGGGTTGGAAGCGTTGTTTGCAGCTGTTTCTTCCAAATGTTTAGAGTTTGAAAGTTGTTTCATGTTTGTTGATACCAATTCAAAGCAATCTGTGCAATTGTTACAGTTTATCATTGAAGGAGTCTGGCTTACATTGTTGCAAAAAAACTTTTGACAAATATAATCTTTGTCACTGCTCAAACAAGGATCTAAATTGAAATTATTTGGGAAAAAGCTAGTGGCATTATTAACATCAACATGGTTTGATGAGGGATTTGATGGTATTCTACTAGATGGATTGTTTTCTGACATAATATTTATTGATGCATTTTTCAACCATCCGTGTCGTTTTGTATTATGTATGGAAGCAGTTGGATTAGCTTCTTCTTTTAAAAAGATGTCCATTGTATCATCAATTTGATATGATGTTGATGGTGCTATTTAATCCTCCACCAGAACAAATTCAATGTTTAATTTGTAAATCGATCTGATACCTCATTGATCTTGTGGAGAAAATTGTTTAGGGTTTTAATGCAAATTATGACAACTTTCATATTTTTTATTAGAAATGAAAAAAAAAAAACATTAGTTATTTTAATCAGTAATTTTCTGACATACTATTCAAAGATCAAAATAAAAAACACTACATCCAAATTTGATGACTTTTTTTGTGTTTTGTACATCAAATATGATTTATGGATCTGTTGGGATGAAGTTCAAAGACAGAAAATGTTTCATAGACCCCATTGTTATTGTTATTGTGTTTGTGTACAGCAGAAGTATCACCAAATCAATCCAATTCGGATGTGAAATTTGTAGCATTTTTCAAGTTGATGGTTTTCAAATTATAGATGTTTCTTAAGTTTTAGGTTGTCAGGTTTGTGAGATAAATAAATAGCACAATAGATACATTTGAAAATAAATAAAATAAATAAATAAAAATTACAATGTATGTACCAATTTCGCTTTTAAATTAGTGAAAGATTCTTTTTTCATTGTGATGATGATAAATTATCAAATAAATAAATTATTCTTTTTCAATGCTTGAGCATATGATGTACATTGCATCCACACAAAAAAAACAAATAAATAAATAAGAATATACATTGTACAACAGTATCTACTTTGTCATGAATGTTTGAAAAACTCATCAGTGTTTATAATTTTATATTTTTCTTTAAGTAACACAAATTCAGTACTGTGATAAATAAATTTGAAGATATGTGAAATGCAACTTCAGGTAAGTGTCATACAAAATAAATACAAATGCACTCAGAATATTGAGTTCCTAAGATTGCATTAATCATATTATATAAAAGAAGCATAACAAAGTCTGATGTCTTTTGCTGAATATCTTGAACACATATGATTTTTTTTATGCCATTGGAAATCAAACATAAAGACTTTGGATTATCCACAGGCATGTACTGCAAATTTGTATTTATTTTTATTTTATTTTTTAATTGGGAGTAACAGAAAAATGTAACATGAGTAAGAGTACATTTTTTGGCTTACACAAATTGATAAGCAAAATAAAAATAAAAATAAAAAACTATACTATACTATGGACCTCTTTTATGCCATGTTTGTATTTTGTTTCTTACTTTGTCCATTTGCATATGTATGGTGGGAAATGAATATATCTCAACTATGTTATGCTAAATTGATCACGTATGTGTGTGAACACTAATACAATGTTACACAGTGTTGGCTACCTCTTTGGGAAGCAAGCAAGCTTTGTCTCGCACCTTCAGACCAGGATCCTCATCCAACGAAACGAAACAAAACGAAACCCATTCAAAGTCAGTCACCGTCACCGTCCTCCCCCATTTCCACAATCCCTGCATTTTGATGCCTTTTGATTCTGCAATTTAGGTCGAATTTTTCCCTCCCCACACAAACAAAATTAGGATTTGATCCAACTGATGGTTGTTATTGTTGTTGTTGTTGCTGCTGTTGTTGTGCCATTCAAATCCAACAACCCTGAGCCTCAATCACAGGTCTAAATTAGCCCTCTCAAGTTGTGGACATAGAGGAAGTCAAACAAACCGTGGGCACTCACTCAAAACACTCATTATAATTAATTAACTAACACCCACTGGGTTTGATGTTTTCCATCCAATGTTTAAAAACATCCTCTTTGTATTGAACCCCACTGGGCTGTTGTTTCATGGAGACAGACTTGCCACCCAGTTGGGATTCACAACGATGTTTAGATCCAATATACATAACCAACACATTGCTTTCCAAAGCTTGTGTATCGGTCTCGTGCTTCAAAAGGGAGCAAAACCCACACAAACACAACTAGCACTGCGTAATCTACTCGCTCGACCACAATCTTCCACCCAAAAGAATGAAGCATCCTCAAGAGCTATATAAATGAGGATGCTTCATTCTTCTGGGATGCAAGACTAGGAGCTATATATATATATATATACATGTTCATATATTCATCCGCAATGACTAAAATAGCCGTACCAGATCTGACAAACCAGATCCGACCGCAAACCCTAATTCTCGTGGAGGGCGAAGAGAAAAATGGATTCGTGCTATATATATTTTTTTATTTTTTATTTTTTATTTTTTTTATTTTTTTATGAGAGCACGACTGCGGCTGCAGTCACGAAAAAGAG